ATATAGAGAGATTTCTTTAACTGAAATACCGAATAGTTTCTTTGCTGTGAAAAACTATAATAGTACACAGGATCCTAGTGAGATAATTAATAATGTGAAATAGGAAGTAAAGGGCTAAAGGTGTAGGGCAAGTGGGAAGGGTGGGGGAAAGGTAATAAGGGAGATGGAAAAAATATGAGAAACTGAAAAAATTGAAACAAAGTGTTTGTAAATGGGGAGGGGAGGAGGGGGTAAAGGGAGGGCAGGGACAAGAGGAAAAAATGAGAATCAAGACCTATTATGTAAAGGTACAGAATCCCAATGATGAATGTAACTGTATTGTATACCTGGATTGTACCAATAAACTCAATTAAAAAAGCATATTAGAGTTTTCTGTGCTAATTTTAAAGAATTAACATTAAATTTTAGTGAACTTCATACTGTACAAGAAAGAAATACACCTGAGTGTCGCATTTTTCTGCTATTTAGCTCACACACCCAATTACATTGTTGATACCCATGTTTAGACTATATTTTCACATTTAATATACAGACTAGGCTTCTGGATACCGTGAAGTAGATGGCGAATTATTAATTTTAATTCGTAAATAAAAAGCAATGGTGCTCCGAATTAGGGAAGTGTCTTGTGCTTTGTTCAGTCAAAGTCCCTGAGCGGAGATGAGCAGGAACAACAGAGATGAGTGAGTGGGGCTCAGTGGGGCTCCAGGTTCAGAGAATCACCCATCCCGACCCATCGGTTCCACAGCTTTGGGCCTTCCGGGAGAATAATCATAGAAACAACAGAATAATGGAACCTTTGGATATTGAATGCCCCACGGATATAATGTCTGCAGGGGCCAGCCAGGGGAAACGTCACAAAACATTACTGCTCCGATGAGAAAGCAACCATTGAACCTCCTCCCATCAATGACACTTCCCGTCCAGTATCTGCTTTTCCTGAGGACACATCATCCATCCGCAATATTCATGTACAACGATCAACCGTCTTCAATACTCAGGTATGACGTTCAGCATCATTCACCTTGAAACCAGACAGGAAACATGCAATCCTTCAACTGATAATCTAGAAATGAGGCTAGACCACTTAAGTGTTTCATTCTGGGACAGAAAGCAAAAAGGGTACACTTAGGTTAATGAGAAAAATGCCCCGTGATTCTGCTGTCAACGCTTTCAAAGTTGATACAATGTCGTAAAATGAGATGTGACCAAAATACGATGACTGCTTTCATTTATAAAATTCAATACAGTGAAAGACACATTGCCACCAATCCCCTTCAAATTACTCCTTCCTTCAAATACACTTAAACCACTTTAAAGTTTTTAATGTTTTGAAAATGTTATTAGCACGTCTGCGAACGATTACATTCCTCTTAAGAGTGGGCACATGTACATAACACATCTTATTTTTTTTTTTTTGTCTCCAGTGCTTCCCCCTTTTACTTGGTTGTCTTCTAATTTCAAAGTATCTGTCTCCCTGGTGCTATTGTCTAATTTTCATTTTGTTCTTTAGTTGATTTATACTTTAGGTTTCTCTTATAAGAGAAAGCAAATGGCATCTAAATTTGTGTTTCTGATGTATTTCCCTCAATATTATGGTCTTAAGGTGCATCACACAAAAAAATCAAATAATAAATTTTGATGAGGTCGTATGGGAAAACAGAACCTTTTTACATTGTTGGTAGCAATGTAGGCTGGTATAACCGCTGTGGAAATCAGTATGTAGGTTCATCAAAAAGCAAAAACTAAAAATTCCATTCAACCCAACTTTTCTTCTTCTGTCGATTTCCAAAGATTTAAAGACATCATATTACAGTGATCCGTGCACACCCATGTTGATAGCAGCACGATTCACAATAATTAAATCTTAGAAAAGGTCTGTATGTCCATCAGCAGGTGAATGGATAAAGAAAATATGATATTTATCTCCCCATCCCTGGAACTTTCTGAAGCACTTCCGGAAGCCCTCTTTACTGATTCTCTTTATGAGGTGTGATCACAAAAATACAGTGAATATTGCTACCAAGTGCCATCCAACTGAATGGCAAGCTCTGGAAGCAAAACAAAACTATGCTGTGTCCTCATACCCTTACTCACAAGATCAGGCAGTGAACAATTTCTGGCTTTGCCCAAACTCAAAATGAACACAAAAGATGAATGGTTTCTGGTAGTCATTAACCTATGGTTTTTCTATAAAATGGAATGCTACTTGGCCATGAAGAATGAGAAAATAGACTCATTCATAGGAAAATGGATGCATATTGAGGTCATACTCCTAAGTGAAATAAAGAAGTCACACACGTGTAAATGCCAGATAGTTTCTCTGGTGTGAAAAACTATAACTGTACATAAGATCCTAATGGTATAATTGACAACGTGAAATAGGAAGAAAAGGGCTAAAGGTGCTGGGGAAATGGGAAGGGGAGGGGAAAGGAAATAAGGGAAAAGAAAAAATATGAGACAAGGAAAAAACAGAAAGAAAGTATTTGTAGGGCTGGGGATTTAGCTCCGCAGTGGCCTGCCTTGCAAACACAAGGATTCGAGTTCAATCCCCGGTACCAAAAAAAAAAAAAAAAAAGAAAAAAGTATTTGTGAATAGGGAAGGGAGGAGCGGGTGAAGGGAGGACAGGGGTAAGGGGAAACAATGAGAACCAAGACCTGTCATGTAAAGGTACAAGATCCCAATAACTGTACCGTATACCTAAAATGGACCAATCAACTCAATGAGAAAAAACAAAGGAAGATGAATGGTTTGAATTAATGTGGCATACTGAGGCAGGTATGGCAGTGGAATTAAACACACTCAAGAAATAGAACAAAATGTGTATTTAAAAGGAGGGGTAATGTTTTGAAGATGAGTACTGGCAATGTAAGTTTCACTGTAATGCACTTTTCAAATTTAAAGCCGTCTCTGTATTTTTTATCATACTTTATATGTTTGCACTGATGCCCATTAGCCGCTCATTTTGCTGGACGTTCGCTTCTCCAAAGATACATCCTAGCCCAATTTCCTTCAGAGAAAAATTGGCCTTTTTTCAAGAATAATGACTTTTTAAAAATTAATTTCATTGGTATGTTTTGGGGATACAACATAATGACCTGCATCATTGGAAATTTGTACCTTTACATAATCCATCTTGGTTCTTATTCTTTCCCATTCCCCTGCCCTCCTTCAACCCCTCCACCCCTCCTTATAAAGAAGGATAAAAAAGAATAATAGATAATGCAAAATATGAGGAAAAGGTCCAAAAGAGAAGGGAAAGTGGGAGAGGTTGGGAAAGGAAAGAAGGGAATGGAATTAATATGAGGGAAGGAAGAAATGGAAACAAAGTCTTTGATATTTATAAAATAATTTTACATTCAATTTTTTGTGTATGTGATAGGAAGAGAAATTTGTGAGTGTGATACTCATTAGAGCTCCCATAAACAAATTCCTCACAATGGAAGTGTTAGTAACAAATTTATTTACCCACAATTATGAAAGTAAAATTCAAAAGATCAAGAAAAGCATCCATGGGATGATATTCTAGCACATTACTCTGTCATTTGTAGCTTTTACTGCTCTATATATTTTATTATCTTTTCATTACTTCTTTCAGATCAGATCATCAACACATGGAATCTAGAAACCAAACAGCTGTCTCAGAATTCTTTCTCCTGGGACTGACAGATGATCCAGAACTTCAGCCTCTCATCTTCAGCCTTTTTCTTTCCATGTACCTGTTCACTATCTCTGGAAACCTCATGATCATCCTTGCTGTGAGCTGTGACTCCCACCTTCACAACCCCATGTACTTTTTTCTCACCACTCTGTCCTTTAATGACATATGTTTAAGCACAACGTCAGTCCCACACATGTTGGTGAACATCCAAACACAGGATCAGAGCATCTCTTACTCAGGCTGCCTCACCCAGGTCTGTTTAGTGTTGGTTTTGGGTAACTTTGAAAGTTGTATACTTTTGATAATGGCCTATGACCGCTATGTAGCCATCTGCCACCCACTTAGGTACACAGTCATTGTGAACCCACGCTTATGTGTTTTGCTGAGCCTACTCTCCTTGTCTATCAGCATTACGTATGGTCTACTCCACAGTCTATTGTTACTGAGACTGTCCTTTTGCACAGACCCCCAAATCCCCCACTTTTTCTGTGAACTTGCACAAATTATCAGACTCACTTGTTCTGATACTTTCATCGATAACACAGTAATCTACGTGGCAGCTTGCATCTTTGGCGGTGTTCCTGTGTTGGGAATCATGTTGTCTTATATTCCCATTGTGTCATCTATCTTGAGAATGCCATCAGCAGAAGGAAAGTATAAGGGTTTTTCTACCTGTGGCTCTCATCTCTCTGTGGTCACCTTGTTCTACGGGACAGGCTTGGGGGTGTACATTAGCTCTTTAATAACCGATTCATCCAAAAATGCTGCCGTGGCTTCAGCGATGTATTCTGTGGTCCCTCAGATGATAAACCCCTTTATCTACAGTCTGAGGAACAGGGACATGAAGGTAGCTTTGCGGAAGCTTATTGCTAGGATAAATTCTCTTTCAGTGTATCATATGCTGACCTGTACGCATACTGTATTGAGAATAAAATGTTCCCGGTTAATAAAATGTCACTAAGTAGAGTGATCAGAAATGCAATGTTCAAGTATATTACATTACAGATTCAAACACCACCTTGCTTTTTATTCAGTCTGTGATGTGTGCAACATGATTTCATTTGTAAATATACTTTCTCCTTCTGTTCCCTGAAGGAGAGTCTGTAGAAAGACTCTAGTGTGTAATCTTTTTTTAAATTTGGATGTGCTTGTTAAAGCAAGCTGCAGCAGGAAATGTGAATAGGAGCAAAATTTAAAAAAAAAAAAAAACACCTATCACTACATTTTGAAAATAGCTTCCTCCTGATCAGATGGTATGGTCTTCAGAATTATATCCCAGTATTAATCCTCTTGGAAAGGGAAGCAGTGGAATTTCATACCTTGAGAAGTTAATGTTGGGACCTGATACTGGCAAACTGTTTGCTTCTGAGGTAAAACTTTTATCTGATTTTTTTCCATAAATGGCCGGATTAAATGACAATGAGTTGAGGTGATTGTGAAATTCACCAGTGAAAATGTTTTCAATGTTAACAAGAAAAAGAAACCTCCACTAAGATGACTAAGAGAATTGCCTTTTATTACAAGGTCTTCCAAGGCAGGGAAGCTAATAGAAAACAATAATACTTAATGCATTCTTCTGTGAAAGTTGTCACCCTGGTCTGTTGGTAACCTGGGTCACCAAGTGACTGCAGGAAGTGTGTGTGTCAGGTATCACACTCACTCTGGACATCAGAGAAAGAAAACTGCATGACCTTCTCTTGGTTCCTTCCATGGGTCAACCAGACTCCATCTCTGTGGTGTATTAAACGGTGGTCCTCAATACATCTTCAGATCCTGTCCCACTGTCAGGATGTGGGTCTAGTTTTAATCTTTGATAGGCTGAAATCGAGTTTTTCCAACACCATTTATTAAAGAGGCTGTCTTTCCTCCAGTGAGGGTGTTTTGCTCCTTTGTCGAAGATGAGGTGGCTGAGTGTGTCTCGAGTTGTGTCTGCAACTTCTAATCTATTTCAATGATCCTCAGGTCTGTTTCTATACCAGTACCACGCTGTTTTTCTATTACAGTGAGCACTGTCTTATTAGGATGTGTTTATAATACATACTAAATATATTTACCTTGGAAAATGGGACTACTTACATACTGTACCATAGTCATTTTCATCTTTCCTACTACTTTTTTTTTCTTTTTTTCAGCTTTAATTGAGTTTATTGGTACATTTTAGGGATACAGCACAGTTACATTCATCGTTGGGATCTTGTACCTCTACATGACAAGTCTTGATTCTCATTTTTCCCCTTACCTCTGCCCTCCCTTCACCCCCTCCTCCCCTCCCCAACTCTCTTGCCCTCCTCTCCTTCATTTCCCTAAACTTCCTCCCATCTTACAGAATCTCACTGATTCCTATCATCTTTTAAAAAAAAATTTTGGGCTTTACATTGCTTACACTTTAGGTTTCACATATTAGAAAAATAGCATGACGTTCATACTTCTGTTTCTGACGTATTTCATTTGGCATAATGGTCTCAAAATCCATCTGTTTTCCAAAAAATTACTCAAATATATCCTTCCTTATACTGGAATGGCAGAATTTAGTTTTTTGTTTTCCACAGATGCAGAGCCTAAAGCAGGGCTTGTGCTTTCAGCAATTTTCTGTCTTGTGTATGGTCATGAAAGAGTGAATTAGTGAAACAAAAGATGTCAGGGAAGGTATTTAAGGAATTTTGGGGTCATAACTAGAAAGTAGCTTCTACACGTTGAATGTGTTGGGAGCCAAAGCGCATCATGCTGTTAGTCCCACTGAGAAGCAATAGAAGTTATCCATAACCCCTGAAGGCATTACTGAGCAGTATGAAGGGTAACTATATGCTTCTGGGTCAAAATAGCATCTACCATGTTTAAAGCCATTGTTTTCAAAATTACCATAATTAGATGATATGATGGTATCAGATGATTGTAACATTTTTGAAACTTGTAGTTCAAGATGGCCGCTCTCCTAAAAAGAAAAACTATACTATTAATAGTCTCAAAAAATAAAGAAAGCTCCATTTTTTCCTAGGATTTCAAAAGCACTGGAACAGAGCAGCATTTAATTCACTTCTCCTGAAGTGGACCCATTCTAGTAATGTTTCTCCTTAACATTCCCAGGTGATGACAGCTAATCCAGTGGTCACCTCCAGACCCAACGAAAGGAATAAGAAACTGAGCACCTGTTTCAGGGTGACTGGATAAGTACATTGTCCAAAGATCAACTGGATTATATCTCTGTGTCAGTCTGAACGGTGGCATTTAAAACACCACCTTCATTTGTGTTTAACTTAAAGGATAAATGGGAGACTCCTCTTTTCGCTGCAAAGGGAAATTTTCAGAAAGAGGAAAATTTAATGGAATATTCAAATGAGCTTTCTATAGAGTCACACATTTCTTTATGACACAGAATAGAGAACACAGCGCAAAGAGAGTGTTGCAGTAACCGTAGAGACAGGAACTGTGCTGATGTAGCCAGCGTTTGAATGTCAGAAGTGGATCATTCTTTCTCCACACGACTATTATTTTCATAGGACACAGAAGCATTTTCAACACCTCCGTTGGTATTCCTGTGCAGTGCTTTGCATAGATGTACTTCTGTTTGACCTCACTCAAGTTCAGACTTTGCGCGTGAATGCCACAGCTTTCTGTTACTGTCATTCTGTTTTGCAGTCCATTGTGTTGTTGGTTGTAGAAGATTTTCTTTGACTGGTAAAGCTCTCTCTATTAATATTATCTATGCTGGAATCAAAACATAAAGAGCATGTTGAGTGCTGATGTAAATTTGTTCCTTGTTTTTTCTGCCACTCTGAACGAAGTTGTTGGAACAGTCGGCTCCATGTCCTCTAAGGAAGGTGGCTTCAGGTTTGGTGGCCCGGTCAGGAGTTTGTACAAGTTATAAGGATGCCATGGACTTTTCTTTCAGCACTCCAACAAAAGGGGAAAGAGATTATTTTTCACTTGGGGTAGAACTGTTAATATAGATGCGTGGTATCTAATTTTGCATAGTTTCAAAGTGGAACATACATTTTTTTTTTTTTTACTTAATTCTGGGGATTCACATCATTCCCTGAATATTTTAATTTACCCTGAAATTTCATGTGTGTAAAATATTATTTCCTTACTTTATGTTTCACTTTTTACAAGGTTATGACTCCTGTTCCATATTATGGAAGGAGAGAGGCCACTTAATTTCCTCCCTTGATGAATATGTGTTTCTGGTATCTCCATCTCATCCAAAAAAAAAACCTCAACTTTGAGATGTTTGGCCCTTCCCATCCAACCAAGAGCCACAAACTTGAAATTTTCATACAGTTATTCCCCCTTCTGGTGACTCCAGCTATCATATTTCTCCCGATGATGTAAATATAAAGCTTATTTTAGTCCTCCCATCCCTGTGTCCCTCAGAACTTACTTGGTTATGATGTATGTCTTCTTGGTCATGATCAAGGACTACAGATACAATGAACTACCTCTGCCAGCTGTCCAGTGATGGCTCAAGTCCACTCCTCTGTGTTGATGGGAATACAGTAGCAGACAGGAGGCTCTTGTGTACAGAATCCTGGGAGGGGCAGACACAGGTCTGGAGCCAGTGGACCAGAGCCATCCTACTGAAGGGCTGGAGACACAGAATGGATACGTGCTACAGCGTGGCCTTGGGGATGGAATGCACAGAGCTCATGATTAACATGTTGGCACACACTATCCTCATCTCTAAGGACTTCCGAATTTTAATAGAGGAAGAAATACAGAAAGTAAATTTTCTCAAAGGCTTTGGGCTGCTCAAGGGAAAACCCATGTGCCTGTGTACTATTGATTCTTTCTTTTATAAAGGCCAATATGATTTTTACTTGCATGTTTTATTTTGCTAATATTTACATTTTAAAGAGTTACTATTTTAGCCGTTTTAAGCGCATGGTTTGGTGGCATTAGTTACATTCAGATAATTGTGCAACCATCGCCACTATCTGTCTCCAGAATGATTTTGTATTTCCTATTTAAATCTGTTTCCATTTTATAAATCACCCCGCCCTCTGTTTTCCAGAGGTAGTGACCACGTCACGAAACACAATGCTATGTTGAAGACGTCAAAGTTCAAAAGTAATGTGGCTCTGAGGGTGCAGAATAATTTTCCACTCCAGATGTTGCTTGTCAGTTTCCTTTTCAACTCACATCCCAAATGGTCTTGAGAGTACACTGTTCATCCAGGTTGCTTAAGCAGGAGATTTGTAATGTCCTGCTCCTCAGATTACATGTGATGGGATTAAAATGCGAGGAGGCACATGAAAGGTATACTCCCTTGGCTACTCTAGTAAATAGCCAAATTGCTTGGGGGGGGCCCTCAGGTGTAAAAGGTGTGATCCCTCTTATCCATTGAGGGGACATTAAGAATGATGTAGGATATTATTGCAAGAGAAAAGGATCATGATATGGGAATAAACAAAAATGATTCTAAAGAACCTCATCATAATACAGGTAAAGTTGTAGCAACAGATAAGATGAAGGACTCAAGATACACAGAGAAAGTTGGCACTTTCTGTATTCTTCAAGTAGGCAATTGTAAGGACAGCAAATTGTACAGCTAGGAGACCCAGAAAACAACCAAAATTGAGCCTAAAACTAAGAAGCCAAGCAGCTGAGAGTTTACAATGGCTCTGCAACAGATGTCATTAACTAATAAAGAAGGCAACAGATGCCCATTGACTAATAATGAGCCATCACAGTCAGAAGCATACCATCCATCAAAAAAAAAAAAAAAAAAAGATTTGTATTTGACGGCCCACATAAAAGACAAATCTACTGTCAGTTAAGATGTCCACAGTCATCTTTGAGGCTGTGATGGAGATGAAACAGATGTCAGTGGAGGGTAAGTTGGAGAGGAAGAAGTACACGGGGGTGTGGAGGTGGGAGTCAGAGCTGACGGCCAGGATGATGAGCAGGTTCCCAAGCACTGTGACCAGGTACATGGACAGGAACATTCCAAAGAGGACAGGCTGCAAATGCGGATCATCTGACAATCCCAGGAGAAAACATTTTGCAGTATTGGAGACATTTTCTAACCTTATGGTTCCTAAGCACCATGACCAGGGACATGGACAATAACAGTCTAAAAAGCATGGTCTGTATGCCTGGATTTCTTCAGAGACCTAGTTGATCAAATTG